CAGTATCGAGTCAGTAACTGTCTCTAGTGTACACATAAGTAAATCCAGGTGCAGGAATACTAAGGCACCATGTGGCACGTCATCTGTTATTTCATACACTGCAGCTGCTGGGTATGTTTCGAACTCTTTTTGTAGGATATTATTTTTCCTTCACCTAAAAGTACATATCTGTTTGGCTTTAGATCAGAAGTGCACAGGTTACTGAAGAATAAAAGAATGTAGCATAAATTAGGCTGAATGGAGCCTTCCGCAATGGATGGTATTGGTGCATGGGAGACAAACTCCCAGGTGAAAGAACTGAGGTGCTAAAAGCAGAGGTCGATTCGGGGGGATTGCAGGGGATCGCCGTTCCCCCGGGTGAGGTGCGGGGGGCGGGGCACACGATGAAGCCCCGCCCCCTTCTTCCGGCCGCCCCCTGCTTCCAGCCTCATTCTGTTGCAGAAGGAGGAAGAAGCAGGAGGGTAAGTTGGCATCCTCCCCCTCTGCCTGGCCGAGGCCACTCCACGTGGCCTCCGCAAGGACTCCCATCCCCATCCAGGAGCTTCCCCGAGGTAGCTGTGTTAGTCTGTTGCTGCAAAATAGTCCAAGAGTTCAAATAGCACCTTTAAGACTAACAAATAGCACCTTTAAGACTAACCTTTAAGACTAAGACTGAGTGGTGGGTGTGGCCTTATGACACACTTCCGGTGATGGCAGGGGGTGTGGCCTTATGACACACTTCCGGTGATGGCAGGGGGTGTGGCCTTATGACACACTTCCGGTGATGTCAGGGGGTGTGGCATATGCTAATGAGTTATGGTAATGAGTCCCCCTAGCTCTTTTTCTACGAAACGACCCCTGGCTAAAAGTATGTCCTTACTTTCAGCTGTGAAATATTGAAGGGTATGGAGTGAGTGTCTGTCGTCTCAGCACAACAGCTAAACAGCATGAATTTGCTGCTTAGCATTACTTTGGCCCCTCTGGGCCACAATGACTTTTGGTGAGTGGTTGAAAGGAGAGCGGAATGCAGCGAATGATTTGCCAGGCCATGACATGCAAAATCCAAATAGTCAACACTGAATGCAATATGAAGGTCCTGAAATCACACAAAAAAAATATGGTGACCAATGTCTTTTTTTCTGAAACTAAATTCAACCCAAGCTACAAGGTAAGATTTTCCTGCAAGCTTTCTACATAGGTGTTCAGGGTGGGAAATGGTACTATAAGTCTTTTACATGTAATTTATACACTAGGGGAGATAACCATGCATACAGAAGTGCTAGAGAAAGAAGTTTGGGTGGACCCATAGCCTTCTTTTGGCTAAGCAGAACAATGATGCTTCAGTACCACCACTCATCGAAGAAGAAGAAGAAGAAGAAGAAGAAGAAGAAGAAGAAGAAGAAGAAGAAGAAGAAGAAGAAGAAGAAGAAGAAGAAGAAGAAGAAGAAGAAGAAGAAGAAGTTTT